AGCAGCAAATCTGGCTCCAATGTCATTTATAGTTTTGGTTATAAGATGGACTTTTCCTGGAGGTAGAGCAACGTGTTCTATATTCACAGATAACAAACTATACTTTCATGAGGTCCCTGGGCAAAGCTGGCTTCTTGCGGTCTTACCTCCCAGAGCTGGTGTGGGAGGCTGGAGGAAGAAGGTGGAATGGGAGTGCTGTTGGTGGAAGGAAAAGCTGCCAGCTTCTAATGCCTACCCCTGTTGTATCTAAAACTTTTCTCGAAAGACTTGAGCATACAAAGCTATTAAGCTTGAAATAAATTTTCTATTGTAGAATAGCCTAATAGCTGTTTCCGGGATTGACTGTTGATTTTAGGAAACTGTAAGGAACAAAGGATGCTTGGTAAAAGGAAATCATGAACCAGAGGAAAACAGCTGTAGGGGTCTCACCATGCTGAGGTTTTGGTTATTTAATAGCCAAATGCCTTTCCTCTGGGTTTAATGGTTTGTGCATATAATACGTTAAAGGACAATCCTAGGCTGAGTTGTAAAGCAAACTGACATTAGTTGTGGCTATTAAAAAAAAAAAAAATCAATCACTATTTTCACCAGAGAAGGGAGATAGTTCTGTCTGATTTTCAGGTTGCTTGATTGCTCAAGTATCCTCTTTCATAAACATATTCTTCCTCAATCGTCAGACCAGTACGTGGTTGTGCAAAAATAGAATGGTCATCTTCTTTCCATGCCAGCAGAGATGTGGTTCTGTGCTATGTTATACAAACTCTTTAAGATCCCTTATGTTTACGTATGTACATATATATTTTGTCTACTATGAAATATTTAGATTTTAAGTTTTAAAGCTTTCTCATTGTACCGTGCAATTTTTTTCATGAATTTCATATAAACCATAAGTTTGAATGTTTTATAGTTACAAAACAAAAAGGCTTTATAGTTTCAAAATAAGCATATGAAAACACAGTGGCATGAAGTGACATGGCTCATGGGGTGGAGAGGAAGCGGCCATTCACAAGACCAAACCCACATACATGCAGGAGACAGCAATTAAGAGGCCAAGGATAGGGATGTTTTGAAAATATACTTAAAACAAGATCAAAGAAGATCTTTGGACCTTTGAAAATTCCCCAGAAAGTGAGTGAAAAACAATAGCCTTCTCTCTTTTTTCAGAGCTCTGACTCAGACCTCCTACTAGAAGGACATTGCAAAGTTGGAATATGTTATTTTAAAATACTACATATATTCCTTTAAGTGAGTTAAACTATTATGTGCAATTTTTTTTTTTTTAAGATTTTATTTATTTATTTATTTGACAGAGAGAGACACAGCGAGAGAGGAACACAAGCAGGGGGAGTGGGAGAGGGAGAAGCAGGCTTCCCGTGAAGCAGGGAGCCCGATGCGGGGCTCGATCTCAGGACCCTGAGATCATGACCTGAGCCGAAGGCAGACGCTTAACGACTGAGCCACCCAGGCGCCCCTGTGCAATTTTTTTTTTTAAAGATTTTATTTATTTATTTGAGAGAGAGAATGAGAGAGAGAGAGCACATGAGAGGGGGGAGGGTCAGAGGGAGAAGCAGACCCCTTGCTGAGCAAGGAGCCCGATATGGGACTCGATCCTGGGACTCCAGGATCATGACCTGAGCCGAAGGCAGTCGCTTAACCAACTGAGCCACCCAGGCGCCCTATGTGCAATTTTTTTTGAAGGATCCTAAAAGCAGTCATGTATGTGTACAACATAATTACATAGGTGGCCCACCGTGAGTCTTCACATCCTAGGAGGCTCCAAGGGCACCCCTATTTCTTTTCTCACAATCACTGGGTACACCTATAATCCAGAGGAACTTGGGCAACTCAGAAGCTCTCAAACTTAGCAAGGAGATGTCAAAACAAGGGTTGCAATGCCACACTTCCTCTGCGCAGCTCTCCCTGAACACTCCACTCCCCATACCCTAGTCAAGTCAGATTCTTCTGTTGTAAATTCTAACAATATCCAATTCTTTTCTAGCACTCAGCAGTTTGTAATTATATATTCATTTTCTGATTCCTTGGACAGGTCTGCCTCCGTACTAGACAGACAGCAAGCTGTATAAGGCACTGTTTATTTTTTGTTCTACTTAGTCCAGTGCCTGGTGTATGGCATGTATTCAATAAATATTTATTGACTATATGAAAGTGGTATTTGTCTTTCTGATGTTATTCCTGACCTAAACTGAGACAGGTATGAGATTACCATGGTATGTGACGGGAGGCAGGGGAAGGAAGCAATGGGGCTCAGAAGTTTCTAAGCAGGTGAAATGCCATGGTTGGCATGGAGTTCTATGTATCAGAGAGAGAAAGGCTTTCCTACTAAGAAGATAGGCATCCTTGACAAGTAGATGACTTCCATTTGCTGCCTGGTTCTGTGATTTTAGGTTTGAATGTTTTCTAGTTTTGTGTTTTATCTTCCCCCCCTTCTCATCCTTCCTCCCTTAGTTTGAAGGCTCAGGAAGAAACCTGAGAATAGACACATTATGAAGAGGAGCTCTTATCAAGGGCTCTAAGGGAATGTTTTATGGCGAGTAGCTTTGCAGAGACCACAGTCATGTTAGGACTGAACATTCTTATTATGATAATGTTGGTTGAGACTTTCAGATCATCTGATTCTCACAGAGGTATTGTGATATAGGCAGCTCAGAATCATGGCCCTTAGTTTATAAATGAGGAAAGGGGGTGGGGATCAGAAGAGGTTGAATTATCCAACTTACAGTGAAAACAAGAGCAAATTAACATTTTTTTGGAGAGTTTACTATGTGTTGAGGCAGTACATTAAGCCCTTTATATTTAGAAAATATACTTTAATCATTACCACATCCCCATGAGATAGGTAACCATTACTATTATTCCCATTTTACAGATGAGGAGACTGAGACCTAGAGAGATCAAATTATTTGCCTCAAATTGCATTATCAAGAAGCACAGAGCCAGGCTTCAAACTCAGGTAGTCTGTGTCACACCACCACGCTAATGAGTAGCACTGGGAGATCTCCAAGAGTACACTGTGTTATTTGAACTTGCTTCTATAGGTCTGACTCCTGGTTTAATTGCTACTTTATGTTGCCAATTTGTTTTTTTAATCTGTTTGCAGTTTCAGCTGAGTTTAGAATATATCACTCAGAAACCACAGTGATCATTACCTATAACTAAAATTAGGTCAACCAGGTTCAGATATAAATCCCCTATATTTACTAATTAAAATAACTGCTGAATACATTTACTAATTTTATTTTTTAGAGGTGCTCATTGCTTAATTACTACAGGGCACATCTACTGAATATACTGGGGAATACTTGTACTATTCTCTGACACTCTACAAAACATTAAGGGGTATTTTAAAAAAAAAGTCCATGAAAACACGTGATTTAGTTCTTTTTAGACTATTATCTCTTCAAGGAGATGACAGTGACCTACAGTAACCAGCACATTTTGTGCCCTCCACAGATCCAAGTCCCTCTTTCTATGGGTTCCCTTTACATTGTATTTTGTCACTGAAAAGAGAACATGAAAATGTTGTAATCTGTAGCTGATAAGAACAATTGCAACAAAAGGTACCCTTGCTTAGAGTTCCAGAGAGGGAAGTGATCCAGTCAAGATTTGGGGCTTGTGCACAGAGCTGTGACCCAAATTAGACATCTGAACTCCTGGTCAGGAGGGCAGTGAGCAGAGTTCAGTACAGGAGTGTCATTTATGTATCTTTGGAATATCACTGACTGCATTTGAAAGTCATGTTAGAAAGGATATTGGCTGGTTTGGGGCTTCTCGTGTTATCTGTGTCTCTTCCCCTCTCCATTATGGATAACTGAGGTTTTAAATTGAGGTTTTAATAAACAGCAGTGACATTCTAGTAGATGAAGGAAGGGGGCAGTCCCCGAGGGCAATCTGAACTTCTGCTTAGTATATTTACTCTTGCTGTTTTCCTTCCTCCTCATTTGTAATTCAGGAGGCTCTCTGAGAAGAGAGAGACAGCGAGGCTTGAGGCTTCTTAGATGGATCGAAGGATCACGAGCTGGGACACCAAGTTCTATGAAAAGGTCTGCTATTGAATTTGCTCTACCTTTAGGCAAATCATTTGATTGTGCTGTGCTTTGGTGTCTTCCCGTGCTTGCTAAGTGTGAATAACATGTATTTGACTATTTTGTGATTATTATTGAGTCTTTTAAATGTGTGGGTGATTTATTTTTCCAGGCCAGCTGCTCAGGTATAAAATGAAAATCTGCTCCTTTGAGATGCTAGGCTCCATGGCCGTCCACTGACCTCCAAATCCTTGAGTGCAGCAGCTGTCTAGTGACTCAGTTTGCAGTCTCTGAGCTGTGGCTCCTCAGGTTTACTCTATAGTTGGGGGGCGTACCTTTTTGTCTCCTTTGTTTTCAGGAACGAAATATGTCACTTTACATACTCTTGCAGCTTTCACCCTCCTCCCCACCCCCTCTAAAAATATGAAGGCTTTCTTTTGGCACAGAGCTGCTTTATCTGACACTGATTTCAAGAGATAGCGGGAGAGGTGACCTGGTAAACAAACTGAATTCTTTGGACTGGCTAATATAGTTCCCTTTTGATGACGTGGGCCAGGACCACTAGAGGCTTGCACTAGATTTAGGAAGGTTCCTGCTCTTTGCAGTTTTGGCAGGAAGCAGTCAGGGAGTATACTGAAAAGAGAGAACACAAAGTATCCTCCCCCTTTCCCCGCCCCGTGTTTTTGTTAGTTATATAGCCTACCTCACATTAGGCAACAAGACGTCCCCGTTAACCAAAAAGTGCGGAGCTGAGATTCTTAGAAGCTACTAAAAATGTTTGTGGGTAAAGGACGATTTTGTTCCTCATCAGTGGATCACCATACCACTGTTTCACAAATGACAATCTCTGAAGAGCAATACTGGAGTAAACGGAAAGGCTTGTTTCTTTGGAACTATAATAAAATGTATTTACATTATTTCTAGTGCAGTGAAATTAAAAGCAGTTTCTAAACAAACCTGGAAAGGTGTTGAAGCTAGAGAACCTGTGAAGGGTGTTACTCCTTAGTTGTAGCTTGGTTGTAGCAGCAGGAAGAACTTCAGACACGGGAACACAGGGTAACCCTTCAGTTCTGAAACGTTGCTAAGTCTCCTCGTGCTAGAAATGATCAAAGAAACATCCTGCTAAATGACTGCTTCCAGAGCTGAGTTTAAGAGTGTTGGGTCCAACTTCCGCCTGTTAGTTCAAGGAAACTAGCAGCAAGGGACCCTGATTTGTGTGTGTGGGGGGGGGGGGGGGGGGCTGGTCTTCATTTTTGGGCAGGGTCGTCAGTACATCAAAATATTACTTGCAGGTGTCCCAGCTGCAGTAGCTTCCAACAAAGGCAGAGCTTTCACTGATGCCTCTTAGAAACGTGTAGCCAGCAACTTGCCAGGCTCGGGGGACAGGACTGGGAGGAGGGGAGGGGTTGGTGATATCCCCCCCCCCCCCCCCCGATTCCTGACGGCTTAGTAGCTCCTCCGGAGCAGGGTGGAGGCCCTAGGGGTGGGGGTCTGGCTCGTCGGCTCTAAATGTAAATAGGAAACCACGCAGCCGAGCCAGTGACAGTTAAGAACTGGCAGCGTCCGTCCCAGGCAAGGTGTTGGTCTGACAGTATGGACGTACGAACGGCAGGAGACTCCCCTCTCCTCACCCCCGGGTCGATCTGCACAACCAGGTGGAAGTCCTGCCCGGGCCGTGGGGGGATGAGGCGCCCAGAGGCAACGACTAAAGCGAGGAAGGACCAGAAGACCTAAGGGCACCACTTTGGAGGGACCGGACGGTTTCAGGAACTACCTTCTGAAGTATCGCCCCTACCCTAAGAAAATTAAAATCACCTCCGCCATTACATGGAGCCCCAGCCCAGACGGAAGGCGGGGACGCGCGCCGGCCGAACGCGCGCTCCCTTTGTCCCGCCTCCCGGCCCGAGGCTCAATGAGCCGGGGAGCGCGCCCCGGTCTCTCCTACGTGCTCCGGGTGGAAACTGGCGCCGGCGGCGGCGGCGTTCCGCGGGCGGAAAGGAAGGGGGAGGCGGGAAGGCTGCGCGCCGCCCGCTCCTCCCCACCCCCCGCCTCGGCCCTGAAGGGGCTGGATGGGCAAGTTGGGCGCGATGGCTCGAGCCCGGGCGGCGGCGGCGGCGGCCGGAGGCGGCGGCGCCTCCTCCTCCTCGCCCCGGCGCCGGCGGTGATCCGAACGAGCGGCCGCGGCCCCCGATGAGACTGTTCGTGGGCTGGCTGTGCCTGAGCCTGGCGTCCGTGTGGCTGGCGCGGAGGATGTGGACGCTGCGGAGCCCGCTCACCCGCTCCCTGTACGTGAACATGACGAGCGGCCCCGGCGGGCCGGCGGCGGCCGCGGGCGGCAGGAAGGAGAACCACCAGGTACGCGGCCGGCCGGGATCGGGCCCGGGCAGTGCTGGGGCGGGGGCGTGGCGGCCCGGCCTTCCCGCGCTCGGCCCGGCTATTGTGCGGGGCGCCGCGGCGAGAGAGGGCCACCCGGGCCGTCGCCCCCGCCGCCCTGGCCCTTCAGAAAGTTTTCCCGACGTCTTCCCGGCCGGGCGCTGCGGCCGCCACCGCCGGGCGCTGGGCCCGGGGCCCCGCGGCGCCTTTTGTTCCCGGGCGCGGGCGGAGAACGGCCTCCCCGTTCCTCCCGGGGCTCCAGGGTGGGCCCCGGAGCCCCGCATTGTTCCCGGCTCCCGGGCGGTGATCGCAGGCGCCCGGCCGCAGGGCGCAAGAACTTTGGGGCGGGCGCGTGGCCGCGGGCATCCATCTGGCCCCGGGGCCTGCAGTGTAAACGACCAGACCGAGCCCATTACCCTGGACTGCCTTCGTAACCCCCGGGAATCAAAGCGAAAAGCCGGTCCCTCTTTTTGTCTGGTCGAATGTCTGAGCATACAAAGGGCCATAAAGAAATTTAACCCTGCATCGTGAGCCATTTAACTCTCCGGGCTCATTCGGGTGACATTTTCCCTCGGCAGTTAAAAAAAAAAAATGTGTTTGACAGGTCCTCACACTCCCATCCTCCTGCACCTTCCCCCTCCGACCTAAGAGAGATCTTTAAACTTCGGTGTTGGTTATCTGACAGGAAAGATGTGGTTAGAAAAGAAGATGATGCAAGCTTTTCCTGGAAGGGTTTTTTAAAAAACAGAATTAGGCAGGAGTGAATTCCTTTCAGAGTTGCGGATCGTGAACCGTGCGAGGTGACGGGTTAGGTCTTTTCATTAGCTGAGTTTTGTGCCACTTAACAGAAGTATGTGCTGGTCAACTGCAGAATTAAGAGTGATATTTCATTTTTGACCGTAATGTAGTTTGTGGTTAACCTTGGATTCATTGAAAGGAGGCTTTCGAACTCTGCCGGAGTGTTGGCTTATAATTGCTAGCATTTATAGTGCATTTTGCCTTTCCAGAGAGCAGTAAGCGATTATTCCCCATTTTGTGTCTCATCGTTTTCATAGATTTCTCATTTTCCTATGTTAGGTTTCTTATTATGCCAGGCGTTCAGAGAGTTTACACTGGGGTGGATTCCGTGTATTCTAATGAAAGTAAAGAATTATCTAAGGACATAAAGCAATTCATTAAGAAAAGTAGTGTTTAGTTTTTATCTAGTAATTACTGATCGTGGCCCCTTTTCTCTTTTTAAAGGAAATCATAAATTTCTGTGAAATTTTTTGTGATCCCACAGCTATTGTAATTTGTTAGGTAATCATGCCTATGATATTGTTAGGAGTATACTTCAAGTCAGTAGGTCATCTTCAGTTGTAAAACCACATTCTTTTCAACGGGTTAATTACTTAACACTAATCATTCTCAGAGAAAACCCTAAAGCACTGCAGTGATAATATACAGTTACCAGAATGTCACATAGCCATATGGAATATGGATGGTGGTGTAAAACAATGAGTTAGAAACGTCATTTTCAATAATTGGTAGAAATAAGGTTCTGGGTAGGATAAAAAGGAGGCAGGATTACGGTTGAGTCTCTTAGCTGTAGGTGTTTATGACTCCTGATTATGTCTACTATAGCACACTTGATACGTTTTCACTGCTTATGGAAGAATTGGTTATATTTTAAAAATTGAAAAGCTGTTTAAGTAGTTTGGTTTTTCTGGAATCTAGGTAGACTATAGCTGTAGACAATGCCTCACAATATCCCCTAACAGGAGGTACTTTCTAATTTGTACCTTTTTAAAACTGAATCAGTTAGATTCTGAGGAAAACTGATACTGGTTTCAGATACCTCCTTTACTTTGTTACACTTCTGAGATACTCAGGTGTGTGTGTACACAGGTGTGTTTTAACCAGTGGGACTAACAGTTTGGCAGCTACGTTCTCCAAGGTGAAGACTAATCTGGTACTTTCTGAATATGTAGCGGGGGGGATTGGACCTTTTCCTTAGAGTGATCAATCCAGAGGTTATTTTGAGGTGATGTGTTGACGTTATGAAAATATTGCCCATGAATAAAGATTAAAATGAACAAAAGAAATGTGTGTGTAGAAACCACAGTGAGATAAAGTGAAAGAGGGGACTCTCCCCTCTGCAGAATGCCTGTGTTGATGATTTATATTCCAGGATCCTAGGTTTGCCTTACAAACTTTCTGACTTGTGAAGTAACTTAACTCTAACATTCTTTCCCCCTTCAAATTTATAGTTTCATGCAAGGTTTTCTGGTGTTCATTTGGGTGTGTGGGTTCCATAGCCAGCCACATCTGGTTCTTTTGGATTTGCATGAAAGTGGGGTTATGGATTTAATTGAACCGTACTTAGCACAAGTTTTCTTTATGGTTATTTTATTAAGAAATTATGGTGGAGGATTCTCTGGTTAAAAGAGAGGTCTTGGGAAATGTTTATCATTAAAAATTAGTTACTATCGCCTGGAGATGAGATGCAAGGCTCCTTTGAGCTAAAGTCGCTCTAAAATAGTAGGAGCAGCACCATTTTAATAACTTGGTTGGGTGTGCTAGCTTCAAAACTGGGATTATTTTTCACTTTGGGAAAGGGAGGAGCAAGGAAGGGCTTTTCTTAGAGCCAGGATATGGCTTGCAGGCCAAATTGGGCTCACTGACCTTTGATACAGCCTATGAAGGCAGATTAGTTTTACATTTTTAAACGGTCGCAAAAAATATATAATATTTTGTAATATGTGAAAATTTCTTATATGAAATTCAGATTCCAGTGTCTACAAATAAAGTTTTGTTGGCATAGGGCCACCACATTCGTTTACTTGTCTACAAGTGCTTCTGCGCTGCAGCGGCTGACTAGCGTGGTTGGTACTTTATGACCTACAAGTGGCCCCTTCTAGAAAATGAGTTTTCCCCAAAGAAACTTTCCAGCTTCCTTCATCAGCAGCACATTTCTTAATCACAGGTTGCACAGTGGATAGTTTGACTCATTGGGAAGAAATAGAGCCAGGCAGTGAGAAACTAGATATGTCACTTTTCAGTATTGGCAGGCTTGGAACTTAAAAAGAAGATAGCAACAACAAAAACTTTGGATCTAGGGTTTTTGATGCATTGTACCTACTACTTAAAGTTAATGCAGCTATTTTGGAGCTACTGAAACTTGAAAGGACTCTAAGGCCCCACTCTGGGTTCTTGATAATAACAGTCATTCAATAGTTTCTGAGTCGATGGAGCAAAAAAAGAATTGTTATGGGACTCTGTGGAACCAGGCCAAGACGGTTTCTTCAGGTGATGTACTGTAAGGATTTTTAAGAGCACAGGTAACATTGGTTATCTGGAATTAGTAAGGTGTAACTTAAAATTGCAAGTTTGTGTATATCTGCCTTATTTTTTCACCTTTTTATGTAAGTTCAGAACTGTGTTATGTTACAAGCAGTGATAAGATTTAAGATAATTGAAACGATTGTTTTTTTTCCAAATTAAAAAAATACTTGGACATCACAGCCATAGGTCAAAGGTTGTGCTGTGGACAGGTCCAGTCTCCTGTCCCCTCACTCATTTAGTCGTGGAGGCTGACCAAAGTCAGGCATGAGTTAACAATGCTCAGGAGCAGTCGCCAGCTAGCCAGATGGACACTGGTGGATTTGTGTCCTCTTCTGAACTGCCTTCCAGAACCTGGAGGCCTTTGTAGCTGAATACCAAAGAGGTTTTGTAAAGAGTTTCTTTCCTTATAATCTGTGTTGAAACCCTGTATAAGTGTTTGCCTCAATTTCACGGAACACTAGGATCTCTCTCTTCTGCTGGATATACCAGAGGCCTTTATGTTCCCCTTTGAAGGTGCTTGAGGGCACCCTGGTAATTGCCAGTAAAAAACAGCTGTTTAGACCTTCTGAAGCTTTGGTAAAATCTTAGGATTATAAAATTCTAGCAGTGAGTGACTATTTGAAATGAAAATTGCCAATAATTTATTTATTAAATCAAAGCTGAAACAACTTAATCTAATCCATATGAATTGTTTCCCTACATGGATGTGAGGGTGCCCTGTCATTCACATCTCGCATAAAGAGGTTGAAAATCTCACATAAAGAGGTTGTTGGTTTAGGTTTGTGTCATTTGTGGAAAAACAATGAATGGTTTGAAGATTTACTCTTATGCTGTGCTTAGCTGCAAGAAAGTGTCAATGATTGAATGTCTAGACTGATAGGACTCATTGCAGAACTTAGAATGTGATTTTTGAATCCTTAGCTGTCAGGTCAGTGTCGTCAGGCCTGGCCTGACCACCCCCGGTAGTAGAAAAGATTCTGTGTTCATGGATCCCATCAGTGGAGCCTTTCCAATTGTTTTTAGTGGTACTAAATGCCTCAGGTCTTTGGTTACTCATTCCTTTTGAGAATGGCTGGGTGCCCAGACCTACAGTGTGGCTTTTAGGCATTCCCTTGAACTTCAGTTCTCTGACTGACTTTTGTGGGCCTTGGACAGGAAGGGGAAGGAAATCAAGTTATTGTGCTTCTATTGTGTGCCAGAC